TTCTGTGTGTTGTCTCTTAATTTTGATCGTTGTTTCTTTTGCTGTGAAATTTTTCAATTTGATGTAATTCTATTTGTCAATTCTTGTTCTTTTCTGGGCAGTTGAACTATCAAAAAATAATTACCCTTGCCTTTAACTTTCAGAGTTTTCTGCATGTTTTCCTTTAGTAGATTTAAAGTTTTAGTTACTTTGAGTTCTTTCATCTATTTGGAGTTGATTTTTTTTTTTACAGAGTGAATGACAGGCTTCACATTTCAATATCCTGCCAGGAGTTGGTGGCTCACACCTGTAATCCTAGGTATGCAGGAGGCTGAGATCTGAGGATCGAAAAATTAACTTGGGCAGACATGCTAACTCTTGTCTCCAATTAACCACCAAAAAGCTGGAAATGGAACTGTAGTTCTGGTGTTACAGCACCAGCCTTGAGTAAAAAAAATAAAGGACAGTACCCTGGCCCAGTACTGGCATACAAACACATAAAAAGTTTTAGTCCCTTCCAAATAGATAACCAGTTTTCCAACATCATTTGTTGAAGATGCTATTTTTCTCAAGTGTATTTTTTGAGGTTCTTTGTTGAAAATTAGATAAGTATAATTGTGGTTTTACTTCTGGACCATCCATTCCATACCATTACAGTGATCTTTGTGCTGTTTTGTTACTGTATTTCTATAGTATAATTTGAAGACTAGTATTGTGATATGTCCAGTTTTGCTCCTTTTACGGAGATTTGTTTTGGTTATTCAGTGTCTTTTATGGTTCCATGTAAATTTTTGGATTGATTTTTCTATGTGAGGAATGAATGATATTGGGATTTTGATGGATATTGTATTTAATCTGTAGATTGCTTTTAGCAGAATGGTCATTTTCACAATATTGATTATGCCAATCCATGAGCATGGGAGTTCTTTCCATCATGTAGTCTTTCCTCAAGAAAGACTATATGATTGTAGAGGTCTTTTGCTTCTTTGCCTCAAGTTAATACTATTTTATTGTTTTGAGGCTATTATGAATGGAATTGTTTTCCTTATTGCTTCAGCCTGTTCATTACTAGTATATAGAAAAGCTCCTGATTATTACTATTTTTTGCATTTTTCTTTTTCTTAATTTTTTTGTTATTATACAGATTATGTACAGAAGGGACTATAGTTACATAAATCGAGTAAAGAGTACATTTCTTTTTGGACAATGTCAGCTTTTCCCTTCCTCTCAGTTTTTCCCTCCTATCCCTACCTACAAGTTGTATAGTTCATTTTCAACTTAGTGTCTAGTGTGTATCACTGCTGCATTTGTTCATCTTTTGTCCCTCCATTTCTGTACGCCCATTGCCCTCTTAAAGACAAGTAAGTACACAAAAAAAGACAAAAAGCGCAGAAAAAACAGCAATGAAGTAAAAACTTCTCATTTTCATTTTCTGGTATTCATTTAGATAAACATTATTGCATATGAACAGTTGCACATAGGCATTGTACCTTTGTGTTCATGTCCTAAGAATATCCTCCTTTGGTCTCACTGTCTATGAATGCCTAGAGTCTTACATGTTTTATCATGTCCCAGTGTATTTTAGATCTAACTTCTGCATATGAGAGAAAATGTGTAGTTTGTGTCTCTGAGCTTGGTTTACCTCACTTAACATAATTTGTTCTATATCCATCCATTTCCCTGCAAATGCCATAATAGTATTCTTTCTAATGGCTGTCTAAAATTCCATTGTGTTCTGGTACCATATTTTTTTGGATCTACTCATCTATTGTGAGGCATCTGGACTGTTTTTATAACTTGGCTGTTGTGAATAGTGCAGCAGTGAACATGGATGTGCAAATGTCTTTATGATATCCTGGCTGGTGATGTTCTGGGTGGATGCCCAAGAGTGGTGTGGCTGGGTTATAGGAAAAATCTGCTGGCCAGAGTGATTGAAGCTGCTGTTTTCTGAATGTTGACCACCTTCAAACTCTGTAGGGCAGTAAGTATAGAATCATATCTTCAAATAAGGTTGATTTGGTTTCTTCCCTGTATCCTCTTTTTTCTTTTTCCTAAATATTGTTCTAGCAAGAACTTGAGTACCATATTGAGTAAGAGTGAGGAAAGTGGACACCCTTGTCTCATCCTGACTTTAAGGGAAATGACTTGTTTTTTCCTGTTTAATTTGAGATTATTGTGTCCATCTATAGTCTTTATCATGTTCAGGTGCATCCCTTCTAATTCTAGTTTCGTCAGTACCTTTATTAAAGATTGTTAAATGCTCTGAAAAGCTTTTTGTGTGGAAATTGAGATGATCCTGTGATTTTTATTTTTTTATTTTTTTGCCAGTTCCGGGGCTTGAACTCAGAGCCTAGGTGCAGGCCCTGAGCTTCTTTTGCTCAAGACTAGTGCTCTACCACTTGAATCACAGCACCACTTCCAGCTTTTTCTGAGTAATTTATTGGATATAGGAGTCTCATGGACTTTCTCCTACCTGGGCTAGCTCAGGCTGCTCTCAGCCTCCCGAGTAGCTAGGATTATAGATGTGAACCGCCAGCACACAGCATTTTTGTTCTTTTTTTTTGGGTGTGTGCCAGTACGAGGGCCTACCATTTTGAGCTTTTTGGTGGTTGATTAGAAATAAGAGTCTTACGGACTTTATTGCTCAGCGGGCTTTGAAGTGCAATCCTCATATCTCAGTCTCCTGAGTGGCTAGGATTATAGATGTGAGCCACTGGCACCCAGCTACAAAATTTGTATCAGAATCAGAATGATGTTTATGGCCTCAACTTAAACAGACATTGTTAATTTTTTGTAAATTCAAACTCTCATCTCAGTGTTCTTACCATTCTATATAACTTGCCTCTTTTGCTGTTTTTGACAAGTGTTTGCATATTTAGTCTATTATCTATAATATGTCTAGGGTGTTTCTTCTCTGACCTTGCATGTTTGTTCTGTAAGCCACCTTCACTTGAATGATTCTTCTCAAGGTTAGAGGGGTTTTCTGCTATTCTTATTTACTGGTCCTGGGGCTTGAGCTCAGGACCTGGGTACTGACATGAGCTCTTGTGCTCAAGGGTAGCAGTCTACCACTTGAGCCATAACTAAAAATATATATATATATATTATTATTATAAAGATATTGTACAGAGGAGTTACAGTTACATGAGCAAGATGAGTCCATTTCCTATCGAGCATTGTTACCCCCTCCTTTGTTTTTCCCCTGCCACCCCTTTCCTCTCCAATACTTCCCCCCCCAAAGTTGTAAAGTTCATTTTCAACAGTGTTTGAGCCATAACTTTATATCTGGCATTTTGGTGATTGATTACAGATAAGAGTCCCACAGACCATAACTTTAATCTGGAATTTTGGTGATTGATTACAGATAAGAGTCCCATAGACTTTCTTGCTTGGCTAGCTTTGAACTACAGTGCTCAGATCTCAGCCTCCTGAGTAGCTAGGATTATAGATGAGAGCCATTGGTGCCGGCTTTCAGTTACATTTTAAGGCATCAGTTTTGTAGTTACTTCATTATATGATCTTCTGCTATAAACTCAATAACCAACATTGATACATATCCTAAAATTTTCTTGAACAACTTATATTGAATAAATTCTGAAAACTACGAACAAGCAAATAAAGAGAAAATGTCATATATATTAAAAGGAAAAGTGCAGAATTGAAAGAAGGTTTTAAAAGAGAGATGTATAGATGCCATATATCAACTAATTTAGAGTCAAAATAGAACATCAGTGGGAAACACTTAAGACTAAAAAATGAATTGAATTGCAAGATTTTTACTCACCTCAACTCTGAATGTTTTCTATTCCTCGGCCAGGAGGGAACACAGTTTATCCAGGCCAGGCCCAAGTTTCATTTTTGTTTTTATACTTTACCTGTGTATTTTTGTGGTTGACCTTGTGTAGAATCTTACTGGCTTTGTGCTTGCTATGCAAACAACTTATACTTGAATCATTCCCCCATCACCCTCATTCCCCAGTCCTATTTTCTTTTAGTGTTTTTAGGTAGAGTCTTATGCTTTTTCTCAGGCTGGCCTTTGGACCTTCATCCTCCTACCTCTGCTTCCTGAGTAGATGAGATTTCATGTGTATACCTGGCCATCATTCTGTCAAATACTACTTGGAGTTACTAATTCATATTGTTTAGGCTGAAAATGATTTTCTTTTTTCTTTTGTTTTTGGTCGGTCGTGGGGCTTGAACTTTTGGGCCTGTGCACTGTCCCTCAGCTCTTCAGCTCAAGGCGAGTGCTCTACCACTTGAGCTACAGCGCCACTTCCGGTTTTCTGGTGGTTTATTGGAGATAGGAGTCTCTTGGTCTTTCCTGCCGGGGCTGGCTTTGAACCGAGATCCTCAGATCTCAGCCTCCTGAGTAGCTAGGATTACAGGCGTGAGCCACCAGTGCCTGGCTGAAAATGGTTTTCTTTATGCTACTCTTAGATCTTTTTATGACTACCTCTCATTTTTCACTAAAGTCTTTTTTTTTTTTGGGTCCGGTCGTGGGGACTGAACTCTGGGCCTGGGCGCTATCCCTCAGCTCTTCAGCTCAAGGCTAGCGCTCTACCACTTGAGCCACAGCGCCACTTCCGGCATTTTTTCTTTTTGCTTATGTGGTGCTGAGGAATCGAACCCAGGGCCTCAGGCATGCAAGGCAAGCGCTCTACCACTGAGCCACCTTCCCAGCCCTTCAGTAAAGTCTTAAAGGACTACTCAGACGTTCTCTTTTACAATTTGTTGTTGCGTATTTACCCTATCAGCTTTTGGAAACATAACCGTTCGTTCGCTTATATAATATTTCCTCAACAAAGGTAGCATTATGTAAGGTATTAGGTTGTCAGTTTTCTTGATCAGAAATATCAGTTCTAAATTATTTGGTAAGACCAAGTTTTGGATAAATGTCTGTGTCAGTGGTTTCCCATTGCTAGTAGTAAATAGATACCATTTTATAGCCACAGGAATATGGGGAGAAGTGTGCAGTTTTATATTTGCTTTTATCCATTTCTTTGTTTTTTATTTTTTGGCAGAGAAACTTTTCCATGTCTGTAAATAGTGCTGCTGTCCTGCGATTGACAGGACGAGGAGGAGGCGGCACCGTGGTGGGGGCTCCTCGAGGGCGAAGTTCTTCAAGAGGCCGAGGTGAGCTACCACGGGGACAAAGCAATCACAGAGCAAGAGAGGGATCTTAATTCCTTATTTTAATGCCTTACTCTATTTTATTTTTAAAACCTGGTCTTTGTGCTAACCGCATACTAAATGTTCTTTATTTTCTTAACCATTTCTTAAAGGTATCTTCATCACAACTCCTGATTAGGAGCAGAGGCTTATAATTCTAGCTGTATAAATTTGAGTTTCAGGAGATCTACACAGTCCCATTAAATTTCTGCAAATCCTTCTTTCCAATCCTTGTCCGCAAGAAGTCTTGAACCTAGAGATCTAGAGCATTCTGACTCATAGAGCAGCAGTAACGTCCCTGTGGGCCTTCAATTTCTGTATGAGGGCTCTGAGCCAAAAGTGACCCCAAGCCATAGTAGGACTTTAGCAGAAACTATATCAATGTTTTGGTGGGATTATATAGAACAAGAAATAACTAGACAGCAGCCACTTATAAATATACAGTTTTATGGTTTCCTGTTGTCTCAGAAAAAATTCTTATTTGCTGCTGCTTGGTTCTTTGATATTGCTCCCTATTTTGGATTAATTGCTTTTTTTTGCTAAATAAGAACATTCTTGATGTTTACGGTATACCTACTTGAGTATTTATCCCTATGTTGGTTAAATCATAACATTAGTTTAAGCATGTCTTATGCTCTTGGAGCTGCTTAAGAATTGGATATTCACAGGGATAGAGGCCATCATCTTCACATCTCATACAAGCAGATTGATGTGATTGAATTTTTTTTTCAACTTTTAAGGTTGTGTCTTATGAGTACAGTGATTTTTATACAATCTATAGAGAATATTTTCAAATAGATTTCTTCTAGTAGTCAGTTAAAATGTGTTTTATGATTAACAAAGGGTAACTGGTCCCTCTTTACTTGTTTTTCTAGATATTGTTAGCTAATTGTATATTTTCCCCCCTTTTATTTATTTAAAACAATAGTTTTAAGCTGAGCATTATGGCTCATGCCTGTAATTCTAGCTATTCAGGAGTTGAGAGCTGAGGATTGTCGTTTGAAGCCAGCCTGGGCAAGACCTCCATTAAACTACCAAAATAACCAGAAGTGGAGTTGTAGCTCAAGGGGTAGAGTGCTAGCCTGAGCACAAAAGCTCAGGGACCGCATCCAAGACCTAAATTCAAGCCACAGGACCAGGAAAAGCAAACAAAGAAAAAAACTGGGGCTGGGAAGTTGGCTCAGTGATAAGTGCTTGCCTTGCATGCATGAGGCCCTTGGTTGGATTCCTCAGCACCACATAAGCAGAAAAAGCCAGAAGTGGTGCTGTCCCTCAAGTAGTAGAGTGCTAGCCTTGTACTGAAGAGCTGAGGGACAGCACTCAGGCCCTATGACTGACACCAAAAAAAACCCCCAAAAATGAAAGTTTTAATGTAAGGAGTAAACTTAATACTAATGCCACAGTTATTTGTATGGCGACATCTAAGTATGTCTGTGCTTCAAAAGATTGAGATGACTTAGATTCACATACCTGGTTAGGCTCAATAGTATAGAATTTCTTCAGGATCTGTGCATCTTGGTGATACAGAAAGCCAGAAGTGGAGTTATGGCTCAAGTGGTAGAATGCTAGCCTTGAACATAAAAATGGTCATGTATAGTGCCCACTCCTTGAGTTCAAGCTCCAGGACTGGTGCCCCTACTCCAAAAAAAAAAAAAAAAAAAAGGCAAAAACTAAGTGTGGTGGCATGTGTCTGTAACATTAGCACTTAGGAGCCTAAGACAGGAAGGTCATGTGAGAGGCATGGTTTGGCCTACTTAGTGAAGTTCTGTCTCAGAAACCCCCAAAATTAAAATAAAGCAAATCCACATAACTGTCACCCATGTCTTCAGTATTGTTTTAAAGGGAATGTGTCTGTATATATCAACAAACAGTTTTGGCAGTAATGGAGTTTTGAACTCAGGACTTCATTGTAAGGCTTCACTATTGTTAGGCTCCACCAAATTGAGCTATACCTCTAGCTTGTTTTGCTTTGGTCATTTTTGAGGTAAGGTCTAGGTCTTTTTGCCTCATCTGGCCTTGTTTCCTGTATTTTATGCTTCCTATCATAGCTGGAATGACAGGTGCATACCCCCATGTCCAGCTCTTAGTAGAGATGGGGGTCTCACTAACATTTTTGCCTGGGCTGGCTTTGAACTGCAGTCCTACTGATATCCAGCTCCTGAGTAGCTGGGTATAGGTGTGAGTCACTAGCACAGATACACATGCATACTCAAACATACGTGTGTGTATGAATGTATATACATATGTATATTTGTGTATAGTATAGTATGTATATATATATATATATATATATAATTTTTTGGTGGTAGTTGTGGGATTTGAAGTCAGGACTTGTTCTTGCTAGGGAGGCACTCTATCATTTAAGTTGTGCTTCTGGTTCTTTTTGCTCTGATTATTTTGGGGGAAAATTTTTTCCATTTTTGCCCATGCTGATCTCTGGACTGTAGTTCTGCTCTTAAGCTTTCCGCCCTGGCCAGGTTTGACCAGCAAGTACAACTAGACACAGCCTTTTATGTTGGTGGAGTCTTAGGAACTTTTTTTGCCCCAAGCTGGCCTCCAACTTCAGTCCTTTTGACCTTAGCCTGCCATGTAGCGGGGACAACAGACACGTGCCACCTAATGGTTGAAAAGAGGGGTCTTGTGAACTTTTTGCCTGGACTAGCTTGAGTTAGAGTCCCCCAGTCTTTTGTCTCCTGAGTAGCTAAGGTAAGATTATAGGCATGAGCCCACCAGTGGGTTGAAATCTCAGACAATAGAATAATCCTTCAGATTTAGTGTTATGAAAAATTAATCACACTGATCTTTTGTTTATCCAGATTTGTGTTGGAAGGTCCTAAAATGTAATCTTTTAATATATTCCATCAGTAAACATCAGCGATTTCATAATCAGAACCAATGCTTGCCATACTGGCAGTTAACTATTTTTACATATGCTTTCCTGGTACATTTTTTATGTATTCATATGTTTCTAGGATAAATTGTTATCTTACAGATGATACTCATGTAATGAGTTCTGAGAAAATTATTCTCTGAAAGGAATCATTGTTGAAAAGGAACATTGTAGTATAGCATCAGAGTTTGTATTTCATTATTTTAGGGTCTTAAATAAAATGTATACATCCTCTAAAGAGGAGAGACTCACTGGACATATGTTGAAAACTTATGAGTGGGGGTGGGGGTGGAAAAACAGGAAGCGCTCTCCAGAGGGAAGGGGAGAAATTGTCCATAAAGAAATGTACTGACTTATATAATGTAACCCCTCTCTCTGTACATCACCTTTATAACAACAGAAAAAAAATTTAAGAGTGATACTGAAGAGATATGGAAGATAATTTTAGGACTGAAGTGGTTCCACTATGGTCCTTATTTCATCTCACAGATGAAATGATACTTAGACTAGTCAAGAGAGCATCCATTGTTTCTAAGATTACCCACATACAATTCTATGCACTATTTCTGTATTTTATAATATGGTCACAAAAATACAGCTATATTCTGAGTTCTTTGTTTTTCTTTTTTTTTCTGTCGGTTGAACTCTGGGCCTGGGCACTGTCCCTCAGCTCAAGGCGAGAGCTCTACCACTTGAGCACAGTGCCACTTTTGGTTTTCTGAGTGGTTTATTGAAGATAAGAGTCTCATGGAGTTTCCTGCCTGGGCTGGCTTAGACCTCAAATCTCAGCCTCCTGAGTAGCTAGGATTACAGGCATGAGCCACTGATGCTGGCCTGAGTTATTTCTTGATAATGATGTAGAAATAATGACTTGCTTTTTCTTTTGATGTATTTGGTTTTAGAATGCATTCATGTTTTTGCTGAAAATTCATCATTGGAGAGGTACATATGTAGTTGAGGGGTAGAGCATTTGTCTAGCTTGTGTGAATCATGGATTTAGTTCTCAGTACCATAAACAAGTAAGTAAAATGAAAATGAATCAATTTTCCTTTGAGTTGTTCACTGTGGGAGAAATTGAGCTAGGGATGAGGGCTAAGATTTCATAAATATACCTTTAGACACCCATACTTCTTCCAGTTTTCTAATGTGTGTATTGGGTACAAATTGTGTGCCTTATCTAGGAAAACTACAGAAAGTATAAAATGAAAAGTGCAAACAGCTTTCTGCCTTGGGATCTCACAATATGGAAGTCTGTCCTTTTTGAACCTTACTGTGCAGTAATATTTACATAAATGGAATATTTTTAATAATGTTCTAAAGTATATTGTTGTCATTCAATAGCAGGATCTAAAGATTTCAGTTAAATGTGCTTCCTAATATTCTACATATTTGTTTATGTATGTATGCATGCATACATGAGTGTGTATTTGTGCATGCATATACATGACAGTCCTGGGGCTTGAACTCAGGGTCTGGGCACTATCCTTGAGCTTATTTTTACTCAAGGCTAGAGCTCTACCACTTGAGCCACAACTTCACTTGGGGTTTTTTGGTAGCTAATTGGAGATAAGTCTCAGAGACTTTTCTGCCTGGGCTGGCTTTGAACCATTATCCTCAGATCTCAGGCTCCTGAGTAGCTACGATTACAGATGTGAGCCATCAGCATTGGGCTTACAGGTTATTTTAATTAGAACTTTTGTAGCAATAGATTATTAATTTTTGAAATTGCAGTGAACCTTTTCCTACAAATAGAAAATCATGCCTTATTTAACAGTGGAATGCATTCTGAGAAATGCTTCATTAGATGATTTCAGTTTCATTATTGTGTGAATCCAGTAATATATTTACATAAACATTGATAGCACAGGTCAGTCACTTGACTTACAGATGTATGATGCTGTTCCCTGCATAATATGGCATATTGCTTTACAGTAAAATTTTCTTGCATTTTTTATGTCAGTATACATTAGCTATATAAGAGCGACTTACATTGCTACATTTCCATACATGTATATAATATATTCTAGTCTACCCCCTCTATGACTTTCTTACTTTCTGTGCTGTTACAGTTTCAGCAGGTTTCATTGTTCAGTTTTCATACATATTGGCCATCTATTTTGACCATATTCATCCTTTTTCATCCTCATTAACCCAGCCCTCTCTTGCTAGTACCTATCTCAACAGAGCTTTTATCTCCTCATACCCCAAGTGATTAATAGCTTTCATTGAGGTTCTTTATGCTGTTTGTATATATAGTCCCTTAGACTCATGTTCTGTGAGTAAACTTAGAAAAAAAAAGTAGAGCAATTTAAATAATGATAAAAATGGTATATGGTAAATACATGAATCAGTAACGTCATTATTCTTATCAAGTACTGTGTATAGTTGTTAGTATCACATTTTTATATGACTGGTGGTACAGAAAGTTGGTACTATATTACTACAAACATTTAGGTAACATTTCTAAGTGACAGAAGTTTTCATTTCCATTATTATCTGATGGAGCTATGAATATATAAACAATCAGTCATTGAAGTGTTATGCATTGCATAGCTACCTTTTCTTATTTTTTACAAGTACTGTTGGTATAAATTCTGAGTAGAATTGTAGAGTCAGGAGTTGTATATTTTACAGAATAGCCTTTAGCAAAGGTCAGTTCATATTTGAACTATGAAAGCCTCTAAACCCCTACATCCATTCATGAGAGTCAGCTATATAGTTTGAATTTAATTCTGACATTTTTCTTACTTCAAGTTTTTAATAGAGGGCAAAAAATGCCTTTTATCCTATAAGGAGGTAGTTCATGATACTAGAAGTTTTAGACTCAATTAAGTCACATTTTTCATGGGAGTAGAGTATTTTGTCATTTGTGGTTGACTTTTTATTGTTTCTTTTCATAAACTCCCTTCAAATTAAAGTTTTCTCATTTTACTGAAAACACTTAATTTAACATAATTATTTACTTACTATCTTAGTAACTTACTATTGAGCTTTTTAAATAGAGCTTAATCTTGATTCTGTGTATTGTTCACCATTGGAACTCTTCTATTCGTTTTTAAATTTTTTTCTTTCAACCTGTGTTCCAGCTACTGCAGTGCCATCATTGATCTCACAGGTAAATTCTTCAGGCCTTGCTAAGTGTTTAAATGTAGACATCATGTTTTGTATAGAGACAGAACGTTAGAGATGAATCTTTCATGTTGAATGTGTGCTAGATCATTTTTTTTCTGTTTTCTTATTTTTAGGTAGAGGTAGAGGTGAATGTGGTTTCTACCAAAGAAGTTTTGATGAAGTAGAGGGTGTGTTTGGTCGAGGAGGTGGCAGAGAAATGCATAGATCACAGAGCTGGGAGGAAAGGTAATTAAAGGACTCAGATGTTGGTATAAAGATACCTTGGTATATAAAACTTAAGTCAGATGCAGTAGTACATACCTCCAACCAGATTCTTGGAAGACCAAGGCAGGTGTTTGCAAGTTTGAGGCCAGTCTGGGCAAACTAGCAAGACTGTGTTAAATAGAAGTTTTCTTTTAAAGGACTGGGAATATAACTCAGTGGTAGAGTCCTTGCCCAGCATCCAAGAAGCCATGGTTTTAATAAAAGATAAACAATAGAACTAACTTATTTTCTGGTTTCTGCAGAGAAACCTCTATATATTGTTGTGGCATTCCTTTTTTTTTTCTTAACGTGCTACTAGTGAATATCAAATAGTATGTTGGCATTTTTTTTTTTTTTTGTTAACATAGAAAGGCTTTATTTGCAAGGGGCCAGAAGTTTAATCAAAACAGGCTAAATTCAATGTTTATCAGACATTTTTAAGTGAACATTAGGAGCTGGTGGGTGAGCATCTATAATCTTAGCTACTTGGGAAGCTGAGATCTGAGGATTGTGCTTGGAAAGCCAGCCTGGGCAGAGAAGTCTATCAGACTTTTATCTCCAGTTAACTACCAAAGACCTGGAAGTGGAGATGTTACTCAAAAGGTAGAATAACAATCTTGAGTATAAAAAGGTTAATAAGCAAAAGCTTGAGGCCAAGTTCAAGCTCTAGTACTGACACACACACACACACACACAAAAGAAAATTTTAAGTGATTCTTATTTAAAGGCTGAAGCATTATAGACTAAAACGTTATTGTCACTGTGGATAATTAGTTCAGTTTGAATTGGTTAGCATTTCAGGGGAAGCATTACCATTTTATTTGTTGCTGTTAGAAAAGCATCTTCTCTCTGTTGTTTGTGACTTTTGTGAAGTCTGTCCAGATGAAAGAACGCAGTTGCACAAAGAAGGATAATTACAAGGCTGTTCACTATATTGATACTTACAATATAAAAAATTGGGAACAAACTGAACAGACTGATACTGCCCTTATAAAGGTTATACACACTGTAGGATACCACATATAACCATTAGGATGGTTTTGGTCTTATTTAATGATGTGGGAAAACATATTCTAAAAGGACTATGTAAAACTATATATGTCATATATGTAATTAAGTATTCTAGGTCAGTAGAAGTTAGTTTTTGGTAGGTGAGATGGTAGAGTTTTTGTTGTCATCTTTGAGCTTTTCTGTAGTTCCAAATACTAGGCAATGAAGATGCCTTTTTTTAATATAACTTGGGAAAAAAACTGGTATTAAAGGAAATGTAGCCAAGTGGGTGACATGGGAAATCTGTATTATTTTTCCATCCTTGTTTGAAACTTATTTTGTCTTTTTTAGGGGTGATAGACGTTTTGAAAAACCAGGGCGAAAAGATATAGGTAAGGTTCTTGTTTTGAAATATTTCCTGGATCTCTGTGGTAGTATTTGGTTAACTAATGAGGCTCTAATATATGGACTCTTACTAAAAATCTCAGGTACCTGCACTTCTCCAGTAGATGGGGTTGTAGCATTGCTTTAATTTAGGACTCCATGGTTCTTTAAGGCTTCCATTGTATGAAACCAGGGGTGATCAATATAATCACTAAGATTTCCCTTAACATTTTAGGTTTATATGTTCTCTGAAAGATATATATTCTTCATTAGGGCCCTTGAACTAAAGTTTCAAGTTAGAAATCAACTTGTTAGCTCCTTTTCCAGTGTGAATAGCTTTTTGCAGGTGAGAAGACCTGGGGAAAGTCTCAAGCTTTTGTTCTGGTATTACAGAGAAAGCTAAAACTATGCTTTTGCTATAATCATCTATTTAGCTTTTTTATTTTTTTGCTGCTCCTGGGGCTTGAACTTGGGGCATGAGTCCTGTCTTTGAGCTTTTGTGCTCAAAACTAGCACTCTCCCATTTGAGCCACAGCTCCACTTTTGGCTTTTTATGGTTAATTGGAGATGAGAGTCTCATGAACTTTTCTTGCCTCGGCTGGCTTTGAACTGTGGTCCTCAGATCTCAGCTCCCTGAGTGGCTAGGATTACAAATGTAAGCCGCCAGTGCAAGACCCATTTGGCTTTTTACAATAAATAAGCATGATGCCAATACTGGGGCTTGAACCTTGTGTTCTTGCTTTGCTTTTTTGCTCATGGCTGGTAGGTACTCTACCACTTGAGTCACACCTCCAGTCCATTTGTGTGTGTGTGTGTGTGTGTGTGTGTGTGTGTGAGAGAGAGAGAGAGAGAGAGAGAGAGAGTGATTAATTGGAGATGGAGTCTCATGAACTTGCTTGTCAGGCTGGCTTTGAACAGCCATCCTCCAGGTCTTAGCCTCCTGAGAGGCTAGAATTATAGTTGTAAGTCACCAACATTTGACTATTTTTGCTATGTACTTTTTTTCCTTTGTGAGATGTCAGCAATCAAATAAATGACATTACTGGGGCTGGGAAGGTGCCTCAGTGGTAGAGTGCTTGTCTTGCATGCATGAGGCCCTGGGTTTGATTCCTCAGCACCACATAAGCAGAAAAAGCCAGAAATAGCGCTGTAGCTCAAATGGTGAAGTGCTAGCCTTGAGCTGAAGGGCTGAGGGACAATGCCCAGGCCCAGAGTTCAGGCCCCACGACCAACAAAGAAATAAAAAAATTTAAAAAAATGACGTTACTGATGAGGAATATAATAAGGGAAGTAGATTTCAGTGTTCGTGAAGAATTAATCATAATTTCTATAAAAGAATTTATGTTAAAATGGGATTTTGAAATGACTGACTGAAGGTGTAATCTTATAAACTGCCAGTAGACATTAGTATCTGAGAGAAGAAAAATGCAACTTACAGTGTTATTGCAGTCATGAAATTATAATTTCTACCTTCCTGCAAATTCCCAAAAAGTTCTCCAGAGTGTGATTAAATCTGATAATGATAAATATTTCTTATAAACATAGGTGAAGTATATAAATACCATTTACTGGTAGATTGTAACAACTAGTTTTGCTTTACTGTTTCCGTATAACACTCATTTAAATATATCAGTAAGTCAAATTCATTCATTAACACCGTATTGGGAATACTTGGTTTATTTATATTAAGGGTATGATATTAAATGAGTGTAGCATGAAGAAATTTGAGCCAGACTATGTTGATCAGTAATTGTATTTTTTGGTTCCTGTACTGGGGCTTGAACTCAGAGTTTTACATTCTCACTTAGCTTTATCACTCAAAACTAGTGCTTTACCACTTGAGTCACACCTCTACTTCTAACTTTTTGCTGGTTGATTGGAGGTAAGAATCCCAGACTTGTCTGCCCAGACTTGTCTGGCTTCAAATAATGATCCTCAGCTCATAGCCTCCTGAGTAGCTAGAATTATAGGCATGAGCCACTGGTGTCTGGCCAATTTAGTGTAATCTTTACTCACATTGTACTTTATTAGTTTCGTATAATCTTGAGGCACTTGTTTAGGACCTTTGTTCCCATTTTTGACTGATTAAGTAGTTTTGCCAGAGTATATGGAGAGGCATTGAGCATAAAGTAAATATACAGGATTTGAATGAGAAGATCTTGAGTATTCTGGACTCTTAAATATTCATTAGTTTTGAAATAAAATGAGTTGCCTTCTGAAATTTATAATGTTAAATAACAGTGACTTTGCTTATTAGTTTATTCAATAAATATTGAATTTTGAATTATGTTCCAGACCTTGTGCTAAGTGCTAAGTCCTAAGTGCAGGGTCTTTTTTGGGGGAGGACATTGTTGGGTGTTTTCAGACTTTTAAATCATTCAATGTTGAAAGGGATATTTATGGAATGGGAAAATTTGTTGGAGTTGATCAGATTTAAGGTGAACCGAATCTAGTTAAGTGAAGGCTTAACAGCAGAAAATAGGAAGTCTTATATAAGCACAATACAGAATTTAAAGTATAAAGTAGCCACTTGTAACAGTAGCTGGGGAAAGATTCTGCCCTCTCATTGACTGCGAGCTTCATGTTATATAGTAATACAAGGCTGCCTCACAGAAAATAGTCATATTTACTAAGATTTAGTGTCCTTAGGGAGTCAGGTGATGGAAAATCCCATTGTCTTTCATGTTGTCATATGGTAAGCATCTTGCACACTTCTGGTGCTATATCTTGAAAGAGTCCCCATACACTAGAGTCGGTGGCCAAGGCACTTTTGAAGCCTTATGATGAGGACTACATAATGGAAATGACACAATATAGATGCGAGAGAAGACTGTGGGCAGGACATAGCCAGAGATGAAGGTTTTATAGGATCACTATTTGCACTTACTTGCTTAACTGTCATATGAAATACTTGATATATACGAGTTTCAAGGGCAGAAGAGTGAAATGATGGAAGGCTTAGGGAGACAAGTATTTTACACATCCTTAAAAACATGTAATAATTAAAGTTGTTTGAAATGATTGGGTTGCCTTGGAAGTGGTCAGTTCCATGGTAGAATATCTTGATTCTAACCAAACACATATTTACATGTTGAATAGCTGAGTGTTAAGTTAAATTTTCATCATTATTTGTGGATATGTTAATTCAATTTATTTTCTAGACAGATTCTATTAGGAGTAAAGACTTTTTTCTTTTCCACTCTGTAAAAATTCACTTGAAGAAGTGAATTCCATAAAACTAATTTGGCATGATATGTAAAAATATTAAGGAGGTCAGCATACCAACTACAAGTATATTGACAGGGCAATTTTTACTCTGTGTGCGTGCGTGCGTGCGTGTGCATGTGTGTGTGCGTGTGTGTGTGTGTGTGTGTGTGTGTGTGTGTGTGTGTAGTTTGTCATAATTGCTTTAATCCAGTGTTTATTTTTTATTTTTTTGTCAGTTGTGGGGCTTGAACTCTGGTCCTGAGTCCCTGCGCTCTTCAGCTCATGGTGAGCACTCTACCACTTGAGCAACAGCGCCACTTCCGGTTTTCTGGTGGTTAATTGGAGATAAGAGTTTCATGGACTTTGTTGTCCAGGCTGGCTTTGAACTGTGATCCTCAGATCTCAGCCTACTGAGTAGCTAGGATTACAGGCATGAGCCACTGGCTCCCGGCTAATCAAATGTTTTTTGATAAGAAGACTTCAGGTTAACTGCTAAGGATTCTGGTTTTTTTTTGTTTTGTGGTGGTTACATTTGTAATATAGATTAAAAATGCTTATAATTATATCTTAACACTATACAAGAATAATGGCACTAGTTTGTTGGAACATTGATCAACTATGAGATATCTGCAATATCAAATTAGGATAATTAAAGTATTATGATTTAAGACTGTTTTTGTTGCCAGATGCTGGTGGCTCATTCCTATAATCCTAGCTACTCAGGAGGCTGAGAGCTGAGGATTATGGTTTGAAGCCAGCTTGACTAGGAAAGTCTGTGAGACTCTCATCTCTAATTATCCACCAGAAAACTGGAAGTAGAGCTGTGGCTCAGAGTGGTAAGTGCTAGCCTTGAGCAGAAAAGCTCAGTGACAGAGTCCAGGCTCTGAGTTCAAGCTCCATAACTGGCAGAAAAAAAATGTTGTTTTTTTTTTTTGTTTTAAAATTAGAGATGGTTCATGTCATGTTTTTTTGTTTGTTTAAATTCCTGGGAATCAAATCAAAGGCCTTGCTCATGCTAGGCAAGTTCTCTACCATTGAGCTGTACCCCCAGCCTATATGTATTTGCTTTGTATGTGAAGAAAAGAGAATAGAATTACAAATCTGTATAAGAATCATATATAACCTCTGGGGATGCCATGGATCCATGGGAGAATGTAGAGATGGCAAAAGGCCTCTGATACTGGATTTTAAATTTCTGTTCAGTAGAACAAGAAGTACAAGGGAGATCAGTTTCTATGATCACCTTGTAGTTTGTTTCCATGAAGATGAAATGAAATATTCATTAGTAACTGATCACAGTGGCATTGGTTATTCATGCCTATAATCCTAGCTATTCAGGAGACTGAGATTGATTAGGTTGTAGTTCAAGGTCAGCCTGGACAAAATGTTCTTTAATTAATATCTGGGTAGGTTGGGCTGGGCCTGTCATCCTAGCTACATGAGAGAATGAAATGGTAAGGATCATAATTTCCAGGCCAACCTGGGCAAAAAATGTTTGTAAACTTCCGGTCAGTGGAAGCAGCGAACCTGGTGTGGTACAGGTGCCTGTCATCCCAGCTACTGTAGGAATGACTTTACTATAGGAGGGTGGAGATAAGGAGGGTATAGGCCCAGGTTGGAAGCAAGATCTTATCTCAAAAATAACTAATGTGGGGCTGGGAAGGTGGCTCAGTGGTAGAGTGCTTGCCTTGCATGCTTGAGGCCCTGGGTTTGATTCCTCAGCACCACATAAGCAAAAACAAAAAAGCCGGAAGTGGCGCTGTGGCTCAAGCGGTAGAGCGCTAGCCTTGAGCTGAAGAACTGAGGGACAGTGCCCAGGCCCAGAGTTCAGGCCCCACGACCGGAAAAAAAAAAAAAAAACTAATGTAAGCTGGGCACTGGTGGCTAACACCTGTAATCCTAGCTACTCAGGAAGCTGAGATCTGAGGATCAAGGTTCAAAGTCAGCCCCAGTAGAAAACTCCATGAGACTCTTACCTACAGTTAACCAACAAAGAACCAGAAGTAGATCTATGACCCAAGTCTTAAGAGTGCTAGCTTTAAGCACAAAAACTTCGGGACAGTACCTAGGCCCCTAGTTCAAACCCTAGGACCTGTACCCAAAAACAAAACCCAAAAAGCTGAAGAGTTGACTCAAAAATTGAGTAACTTAGGTATCAAGCATGAGGGCTTGAGTTCAAATCCCAGGACTACCACTGTAAATAAATAAACCAACAACTAAATAAATAAAGATATACATGTATGTGTGTAGAGCGCTAGCCTTGAGCTGAAGAACTGAGGGACAGTGCCCAGGGCCAGAGTTCAGGCCCCACGACCAGACCCTCCCCCCCAAAAAAATAGCCAAAGTAAAAGGGGTTTGTGGCATGATTTAAATGGTAGAATGCCTGTCTCACAAGTGCAAGATTATGAGTGCAAATCCTATTACCACTAAAAAAGTATCCATGTCCATATGGCATCAGTAGGCTGAGCCAAGTTGGATATTGATTAGTGCATTTTGAAATGAAATGAAATTTTGATTACAGACATTCTAGAAGTTGGTAATATAGGCCATAATAAGCAAAAATATAGGCTCTTAAGATTTTTAAGAATGATTTGTCTTTAGTTTGTTAAATAGTCATGCTGTCTATCTTGGTGTCCCAGAGTACTTTATCATTTCTGAAGTGAGCTTCCTGATCACATATGTGAGTTCTTTGGTGGCCCATGTTAGGAGCTGCACAGCCCAGGAAGGCAGAGTCGCCATTTTTCTCAATAATTTTTCTTTTTCCATTCATACTTTATTTTCTGGAGGGGATAATGGTATCACAGGAGGATTTTTATCCTAGAAACTTATTCTTTGAATAAGTGAAAGTATTACTGAACAGTATTCCTACAAGTATTCAGTTCTCTGGACAAAATTTTTGGTTATATTTCTTTTATGTAAATTAATTAAATAGCAGTAGTTTACTAAGAAGAATTTTTGGTTGTTGTTTTTATTTTTTGGCACATCGAAGGGGAGTCATACTTGGTTTCCACATTTACTTAATTCTCACATTAATGTTACTTTTCAAGTTTGCCTGAATACTAAATGCGAGTCATCTGAGCGGGAACATGAAGCATCTATAGGGAGACTGAGTCCCAAGTCTCTTCACCCGTTCATTTGTATTACCTTGAGCAGCTTCACTTCACTATTGAAATTATAATCTATGTAAGTGACATAGCAATTTTAGGAAGAAACATACCATGTGAGTCTTTGGTACTACTTTTATTTTCACAGGTTATGTGACTTGTTCATTTATTATAGATAGATGAGTTTCTTCTGGCTTCATGTGTTACAGCAGTCTTGGGTTGGAAAAAAATGTGTTCACTTGATTACTACTTAAGAATAAATGTTAAGATTTTAAACATCAGGTTTTCACAAAAATTAGGTTTCTGTGTTCTTGATATTCTTCTGATTTATCAGTCTTAGACCTTGCCAAAATTCTTCTTTATTTTCCTTTTGGTCAAACAGTAGAAAATTTTAACTTGCTGCTGTACCCTGCTCTTTAAAACTTCCTGTCTTTACTCAGCTAGTATTTATTTCAGGAGATGATTCCTGCCTGGGTCATCCAGCAGTAGGGAAGCTCAATCTTTCATTCTTCCCACATAAGCCTGAATAAGGGAAATTTCAGAAAAGCTGAACAGCTACAGATCTGTTTGAAACTGGATAGGGTTTTTGTTTTGTTTTGCTAGCAGTCTCAAGTTTTTAATTGAAATAAGAATTATTCACCAAAGTATCTTAAATTAAACTGGATGTAAGAGAAAGTGTTCATCTTATTTTATATAAAAACATGCAGAGAAAGAATAATTTTCATGGAGCATTAGAGTTGAAAAGAAATAATAGAGATCATTTAGTCCAACCTCCTACTGGTGAATAAACACTCATTTTGTGTTTATAGAAAAAACTATTTGATGTTGGAAACAGGAATTTGAGTTTGAAAATACTTTGTTGCCTAATTATTTTTTGCTTTATCTATTGGGGATTTTTCTCCTAGTTGACATATCTAACCTTTGAATTGATAAAAACTTAAATATATTTGTATATGTGAAGTTTTTAGAGCCATCATGATTTTTAATGTCATTGAATGGGTCATAAATAAGAGAAAGATTTTACTTCAATTGTAAATAATTCAGATGATTGGGTGATTATAGTTTTTAAATCATGAATTATTAGGCACTAATAAATCACTAATTATTAATGATTAAATCACTAATTATTAGTTTTAAAGCAGATGTAATTTTGCATATTCTTGCCAAATATATCATCCTGCAGGTTGGTACAGAACTTTACTTCATTGTTCTGATCACTTTCTCCTATGGGCATATGAACACATATATACATTTAAGTGTCAAGCTCAAATGCGTTTAGGGTTAAGTATACATTTGTCTGTGCAAGTTTCTGTTGGGATTTTTTGTTTTTAGCTGTTAAAAAATTAAGGCAATAATACTTACCCTAGTTTTGTAGTTTAAAGAGCCAAAGGAATGATCTTTGCTGTCTTGAAAAAATAACAGTTGTAAAAGGTTGTTCACCAAATATTGTGAAATCATCTTTCTACCCAGGGAGCTATGTTTGAAACTAGACTGTTGCTTCAGTTTGCAGATGAAAATGAGAGATTTGTATTTGATTTTCTTGGAATTCAGCAATGTTAAATTTCACTGTTCATTTTACCTTCATTATTGGTATCATACCAAATCTTTATAAATTCATGAGCAAAATTTCTATTATGAGTATCTGTCAAGTTGAGTTGTATTGATTTCAGTAGATAACCATAGATAAAAGCTTTGTAAGAATGTTTTCAAAATGTGTATTGATAGTGCAGCCATTTTTTGTGGACAAAGGCATGATTGATTACCTTGATGTAATCAGATGGATGTAATCAGCATTGAAAAAGGAAAACATGAGATACACTGAAGGAATAGTAACTGCATAACTGGCTGAGATACATTTAATACATTAAAAAATAGAATGGCATGGTTAAGTCTTACTCTGTCAGTCCTGTTTCAGAGATCTGAAAATTGTCAATGCTTTGTCCATTGATACGGATATCTAGGTCAGTCCTGTGTGGGCTCTTAGAGACCGGAGGAGTTGGAAATTCAGGAACAGTCTTGTCAAAATTCTCCATCTTGACTTGATATTCACCTTTGGAACCTCGGGTCATCAGAGATGCAAAACAGTGATGTAACATGATCTCAGAGGGTAGGTAGGATGTCCTCCTTTGACAGATTTCACCAGTACCTTCCTGCATTGCTGACAGGAACACAACTAATTCAAAGTGGGGAGGGTTTTCATGCTGGAGTAGAGTTGCCAGAGGACTTGATGGTGTAATAGTATGGTAGTAGGTTAGTGGAAAGATAAAGAATGGACATTCTTCAGAACTGATGCCATCAAGGTGAAAGTCCACACTGGTCTGATGGAGTTCGCCATTTTCCTTTTCCTGATAGAGTACAGCTGAGACTCGGACACTGGTCAGAGGGCTAGGTCGGATGTTAGCCACTTGGAAGATAAGATTAGGTTTGCCATCTATGTGAGCTACTACTGCTAAGTCAGTAAATCGAATTGAGAAAGCTCGATTTTTTGGCCGGGCAATCTTCGCCACAAAGGCACCTAAATTAGAAACCATTGAATTTTTTTAGAACGAAGATGTCAATATATCAATACCTTTTGCAAATTAGAAGAATATATCAAGTACTTGTACATTTCTTGATGCTATTCTTTACAGTGAGTCAGGAATTAAACTCATTAATATTGGATAGTCAGTATACATACATTTCTGTTACAAGAAACCCATTATTTCAAATGTATAAGCAAAAATTACTTTGCTATAGACTCTAAAATAATCTACTTTCATACAAAGTTAAAGAGTTGGTCTTTACACATATATACATACATATGTATACATATATACATACGTGTATATGTGTAAAGACCTGTGTGTTGGTCTTTGTGTGTATGTGTGTGTATACACACATATGTATATATACATGTATACATATATGTATGCATATATACACACACACATGATAGGCCACATACATACACATATACATACACACATTATAACCTTACTTTTAAAAAAAATAGATGATAGAAGCTGGGTGCCGGTGGCTCATGCCTTTAGCTACCCAGGAGACTGAGATATGAAGATCATAGTTCAAAGCTAGCTTGGGCAGGAAAGGCTATATGGCACTCTTATCCTATTAACCACTGGGAAACTGGAAACTGTGGGAAACTGTGTCTCAAAGTGATAGAGAGCTAGCCTTGAGCAAAAGAGCTCAGGGATAGTGCCCAGGCCTTGAGTTCAAGCCCCATGACCAACAAAAAAATAAATAAAACTCAAGGACAGCACTCAGGTCCTCAGTTCAAGCCCTAGGACTAGCACACACAGAAAAGTCACAGAAAATGAATGCAGTGTACTTATAACTAGATAACTTTGAAGTTGAGCTAGAAATTTGAGAATCGGATAATTTAGTGGGGAGGGGACTTGCTAAAGGGAATAATACACTGAAGAATTTTTTAGCACTGAAACTTAGGTAAACCTTGTTCTTTTGGGGAAAACTGGCAATAAGTTGGTTTCTGTGTACCTTGTGAGAACATCCTCCTTGTGCCTAGCTATAGAGGAAGGTTTCCTAACCATCATGCACTACAGAGCTTGTTGGAAGGCTGGTGGATCCTATGTAGCCCTTACCTGAATTATATTTTAAATGTTAATATGTAAATGCAAACCAAGGAAACCAGATATTTTCAAATTCAGTTGAACATTTAAAAAATACAATACAAAGTGGCGCTGTAGCTCAGGTGGTAGAGCACTCGCCTTGAGCTGAAGAGCTGAGGGACAGCGCCCAGGCCCTGAGTTCAAGCCCCACGACCGGACCAAAAATAAAAAAAAAAAAAAAAAAATACAATACATAGTAGTATATTGCTTTATTAGTGCATTAAATAACAAAATAAATAGTAGGTTTAATTTTGTGATTTTTGAAGTATGGTGATTTGATAAAAAAAAAATAGCTCATTTCTATTTGGACCAAGATACTGGTAATGCTGATGTTGTAGTTTTTGTTATTGAATACATTTTAGGAAATGCAAAATTCAGTCAGGGGTTCGTGTAAAAAATTTCTCCCCACTTAATTTAATAGTTACCCTAAATTTATCCTAAGAACTGACCCAGTAGATATCTTGCAGATGGAAAGTTGTAAAACCAGTTGGCAGCACACTGGGACTTCATTCCAGATGACTTATCATGTGGTCCAGTGCTTACACTCTTAGACTATTACTGGATATACATTAAGGCCAAATTTTCTACTTGTTTTTCTTTTAAATTTTATATCTCATGTAACAAGAGAACTATTAGAATCTTAGATATTATCAGTTGTGTAACAAAATTCCACAATTGTTGTGGCTGTATTTTTAATAATTTTGCTAGGGTGTGTGTGTGTGTGTGTGTGTGTGTGTGTGTGTGTGTGTGTGTGTGTGTGTGTGTGTGTGTGTGTGTGTGTGTGTGTGTGTGTGTGTGTGTGTGTGTGTGTGTGTGTGTGTGTGTGTGTGTGTGTGTAACATATTTCTCTAACATACTGTGTTAAACTTTCTCTAACACATAGTGCTATGATGCTTGTATGCTTACTTGCATTCAGTGGATGTTGATCATATGATTTCAGAGGAGAAAATTGTAGAACATCAAAAAGAAAAAACAAAAATCAAGTTCCTGTTAGTAACATGATAGATGGGTAAGGCATACCTTGAGCTTATTCACTAAGTATTTAACAAAATACTAATTTTAGACCAACTGCAATATTCATGAAAGTTAGTATCAAAGTGCTCCCCCCCTTTTTAAGGAGTTCCAGTAGTAATATTTAAACAATAAGTCTTAGATTCCTTATATGTTTCTATTGTTTGTCCCTAGAATTTTTTTTTCCTTCTTTAGGCATATTGCCATCCTTCCTAGGCATCACCTGATAATAATAGAAATAAATTATTTCAGTGCTGCTTATAATTGATTATACCCTTTTCAAAGTTTTGCATTGTTTCAAAAGAACAAAGACAATTACCTGTGATAAAAGCCTCTAGCATGAGGCCTAGGAGCATTTGTATGGCAAGTAAGGCGATTGCACTTGGACAGTCACCACTGGGGAACATGGTACCATAACCAATTGTGAGTTGCGTCTCCAGGGAGAAGGAGAATGCAGCTGTAAAACTGGTGATGTACTTGACACAGATAGTGTGGTTTTCAGGTGGGGCATCGTGATCTAGTTCCAGATCACCATTCATCTCAGCTAGAACATACCAGAGCACTGCAAAGACAAGCCAGTGGACAACAAAAGAAGCAGAAAAGACCAGCATCATCCAACGCCAGCGCATGTCCATTAGGATTCCCCATGCGTCTCGAAGATAGGCAAGACCTCTTTGAGCACCATCCATCTGAAGTGTGCTGTGGCCATCTTTGGTGACCATCCTCCGGTATCTTTGACTTAGGAGAGGAGCGATAACTTTGCAATTACTGCTGTCCATCTTATGCTTTGATTCTCTGTAATTAAAAGTAAATTAGTCAGCCATTAACTGTCTTAGTATTCATGAATTCTGAAACCACCTTTCTTGCTTTTTTGAAACTGTTCTGTGACTACAATTTGGACAGGCTTTTTCTCAAACGGCTTACATACAGGGGCAGTTATTGACCACGTCATCTATTTGTTAGCTAATTATGTATTATATGAGGTTATCGCTACCATTTTCCTGGCTACTAAAACATTATATCTACTAAGTGTATTTTAGAATTCCTGAGGAGGTAAGGGAGAAGATTTGTGCCTGTTTAACATCCCTGAATCATCTTTGCCTAAGTCCAGGTATTATTTGATTAAATGTTATGTGTAAATAATAGCTTTTAGTAATTCTTAAAATTATGGGTAATTAAGAGGACTAAGTTTAAGTATTTTACTGTATATGAACAGATAGAAATCACTTGGAACTTAGCCTTAAACATTAGTATAATTGACTCTTGCTGCTTACTTCACAAGTAGATACCCTTTCAAAGTGCTGCGTATCTTTTTCATGCTTTTTAAGATGGTCTCACTGTGTAGCCCAGGCTGGCCTCCCAACTCATGATCCTCCTTTCTCAGCCTCCAGACTGCTGTGATTACAGGTGTGCCCTAAGCTCTGTCCTGCCTATTTAATGACACTTAAGCACGACACTAGACTTGTACACAGCAATGTTGTTGCTTGGGATTGCTGGGTCCTTTTTTGTTTAGGGACTCTGGATATTGTCTTTCTGTAGTATTGGAACTGGATGTTGGCCAGCCGGTTATATGCAACTTAAAGTAGCCTCAGGACAAAAGGGAAAGTTGCATACAACCATTATTAACTTTATATATGACTCTGACAATGATAGTGATTACTATTACTAGCGAATAGTATTGTTTATTATTTGCCAGAAATCATACCAAATACTTCACAAGTATTAACTCATGTGAAATCAGTAGACTGCTTAGCAGAGTAAGTGCTCACTAGATATTAGTTGCTTTACTGTGACTAATATTTTCTCACTTTTACATTAATAAGTACATTATTATTTCCATTGTATGGAGGATGAGACTGAGGCACAGTGACTTTTCTAAGATTACAAAGATAGTGTCAGTGGTATTAATTTCATGCTTTCCAAGTCCAGAGTCAGCCTTATGTTTCTTCAAAACCAGACATTTGATCCTGGTCAGAATTTTTGTTCTTCAGTAACACTTACTAGGTTATTTGAAAATAAGAAACACATTTTCAGTCAAGGAAGACTTCTTTCAAGACTTTAAGGTTAGTACTATCAGAATTATTAGTCTGTAATTTGCAGTACAGATTTTTTGCCAGTAAGGTTTGCCCTCAGGGCTTTGTGCTTGTTAGGCAGGAGGAGCTCTACTGCCAAGCCACACCTCTAGTTTAAGAGGAGATTTTTATGTAGTATTCATAATTTAGATGTCAAGTTAAGAAGATAATTTAAAATACTGTCAGCATAATTTTACCAAAGGAAAAATTCTGACACTGAAAGAAGGATGTGAGAGTGAAAGGATATAAGAAAAAAAAGGAAAGGACAGTTGTTTTCTTTCATAAAGATGTGTGAATATCTTTTGTTTCTTGCTTCCTGCCTATATGAAAATGCCTCTTGTAATATGAAATGTGCCCTGGTGACTGCTACTATGTGTTGTTTCACAGAGCTTGAGGAAGAAACAGCTGCACGGTCCTTTCTTGATTTCATCCTACAGTATTTATGAATGTCCTAAACTTCCTTCCTTTGTTTCTCTAACTATATCTTACACATTTCCCATATAAAGAAAACACGATAGGGAACCTGGGCATCTGCTGGCATCTGCTCTTAATTGGCCAGGTTTTCTTAGATTATTTTTTTTGAGGTGGGAGGGAGGGAGGTGGAGAAGGAGGGAGAGAGAAAGAGAGAGAGAGAGAGAAGGGAGGGAGAGGTAGGACAAAGAGAAATTGATCCTTTAAAGCTCTACAACTTTGTTATTTTCAATTCCCTCAACTGATACAGCTTTTCTATGGAATTTTATTTTTCTAGATAGTTTTATGTCTGCCTCCTTTAAAATGATTCTTTCTAAATGGTTTTATGGCTTCTTTAAAACTTATATTATTGTTGCCTTATATTTAGGATCTTTTTCTATCAGACTTAAAAAGTATCTAATGGACATTGTGTCCATACTATTATATTGCTAAATAATTTTTATATCCCCAGAGGCATATGAGTACTTGTTGTATGTACTTGTCTTGATTTAGATTTATATTATTCTCATTAGCTAATCCTAACAGAAAGTAGAATAGAAAAGCAGAAAAGTTTGCATGTATTTTTTTTGTATGTGGCCTCTAAAGGATGGAAAAAGAGTTTATCATAAAAATGATAGTTTGCGGTCAAAATAACTTGTTTAATTCTACTCATTAAGTTGTAGTTCTCAAAGTTATTTCTTTTGTATTGCTGCTTTAAAGTAGTGCTATAGTTCATGTTAAAGTTAAGATAGAGGCTGTATTTGCAGTGGTTAATGAACACAATATTTGTCTACATCTGATGTAAAAGGCTTTCAGATAATATTGAGAGTCTTGTAATCATCTCTCCTGCTCTCCGTAATTAGGGCAAATGATGTGGATTCTAGCCCTATTATGTAAGCTCAGATTCTTTCATATTTATTATTATTATTTTTACTACTTGTAATGGCATCTACTGATTTCAGTGGTAATTCTATGCTTAAAAATTCATTTAGAATACTGATCCTTTTTCTTGAGAAAAACATAGTGAGAAAAACACATTCTTTTTGCATTTATTTTCATATGTTCATTATAGATTTATCTAATCCCTACCAATAGACATTTTTTAAAGAATTTTATCTAGGGCTTTTCTGCTATATGCATTTATATATAATAATGGAGAGTAAGTTTACATTAAAAAGGAGCAAAAGTTACAGGAATGCTTTCAATAGGGCTGTTATTCCAACCCTAAAATTTAAGGAAAAAGAATAAAGCATCTTAATTTAAGACCCTGTAAATAGGGGTTGGAAGCGTGGCTCAGTTGGTAGAGGGCCAGCCAGTGAGCAAAAGTGTCAGGTATGGAAGTTGAGTCCCAGTCTTACAACAAGAAAATAAAGTTGTAAATGTAGTATCTTTAGTTTTTTGTTTTTTTTTAATCTGTTGTAAGTAATCATGCCTTGGCCTTGTTTACTGGTTAATTTTTCCCCTGCTCCCCTTAAGGAGAGAAATAAGAATATTATTTCATTTACTCACCTCTTCTTTTGCAAGTTCAGCCTGTAGCATAGGTTCCTAAGGAAGCTTGCAGAGTATCTTTTTGATCAGGTAGTTTTAACCTACAAGTCTAGTTGGTAGGTTTTCTTCTTGGACTGGCGTTACAGCTTACATTCCTGTGTTTATAATGTCCTGGGAGCTGGTTTCAGCTGAAGATGATGTGATTGGTCACTTAGTCTGCAGGGGGGCCAATTAGCTCTGATCATGTGGAAAAGAATGCTGGTTTGTTAGGAGGTCTTTCTTTACCCAACACAAACCTTAACAACTCTGGAGAAAGCCTCCAGAGCTGACTTGGAGAACGGGTGCATTTTTTCCTCTAATCAGGACCGGTTTTTAGTAAGTTTGCATAATCTTACTTAAGAGTTTATTTGAAAGTTCAAAGGGATAAAATTCCCTGCAAGATTTCCTTTCAGCCGTCTTTCCTTATATAGCATGTTGAAGTGTGAGATATCTCCTTCACTAATCTTTTTTTCCACCATTTCTTGGGGGAAGATTTATTTGGATAAGGATGTTTAGATATAAAGTAATAAGCTGATTTTCTTAGTTTTTTTTTCATATCCCATATCATTAAAATGACTAGTAAGTATAGGTAGTTTATTTACCTTAAACCTTTCCTATTTTTAATTGAAAAGGGATGGACTTTTGAAAGAAGCTATGTAATAAGACCTCAGGTAGGAATAAAATTAATTTTTTGATACCTTGTACTATCTCTGCACCACATACCTGTGTGAAAAGGCTGAAGAGCTTCCTTAAATCTTGCTTTAGTATTATTTAGGGGATGATTTCTTGATAAGTATGATGTAGAATAAAACATAGTGTTGGAAGCATATAGAACTAGACATTCAAGTCACATTTTGCTTGAAAATGTCTATGATACAGCATGAGTTGAGGTATGGCTTTGTATAATGCGTTAGTGAGCAGTACTTTTCTTCTGTTAGCTGCTAATTTTAAAACTTTGATCAAATGGCACATGTAAGAGGATTTGAGAAACAAAGGCTGTGATTGTTCAAAGTATAATCATGGAAGGCCTGCTGGGAAACTTATTAATGTAGACCAATATAATGCTACTTAGAAAGGGAAATCCGCCTTTGTAGATTCCTCTCCTCCCTCCCTGACAACTTAAGAAATACATTAATTCCTTCTTTGTTTTATTAATGACAAGCATTTCAGTACAAGTTCAGACACAGCCTTGTAAACTTTGACTGGAGAAGGTAAGGATTAATGGTAGGCTTCTTTCCAGCCTAAGATGGGTCAACAAATAGTTCTGATCTTTAACTTTAAGCCGTAGAGGTGATTCAGAAAACCTCCACTACCTACCCCTAGACAGTGACTGCTCCATGGGCTGGCCCTGGGGAGTGACTTCACAGTGTTCCCAAGCCAATCTTTTTGCAGTTATTTTGCAGCCATCCTGGAAGGGCCTGACCAACCACCAGGCCTTGAACTCTCATTGAACCTATGAGGCCAGTGAATCTCAACAAGTTCCCATCTGACCAATCCTGAGACCATGGACTATCAAACTACCTAATACCACCTCTGAACCTGCTTGTGACAGTGACTGTTTTAACTATGTATATCTCACATCGGACTCCAGTTTTTCCTATTTAACATAATGCCAATGTCTGTACCCTTGAAGAGAGCAGCAGATGAAGATGAGCAGATGAAGGTGCTCATGGCATCATGCTATAGATAATCTTTCCTGCCATGTTTCTTTAACTTTCTTGTTATGTTCA